GTTATTGTTTCCATGTTATCTATTGCTTGGCTGACAACTGAGCCATGGGCTAAAAGTTCAGTTGCAGACTTGAGAGGCCAGGGGCTGTTATGCCCAGAATTCAGGGTCCCCAAAGACCACCCAGGAGCCGTGTGCCGATGCAAATACATAAGGGTTGTTTAATCAAGCTCGAGCCAGGTCTCTGACCTTATCCGACATTTCGGAATAGGGAAAGAGCCCCGAATTCATTGTCTGCAGGGTTTTTATAGAATTTTCTAACAGCTCAGGTTTCTCAGCTTTACAATCTTTGGATTGGTTAACAATTGGCAAACTATGAGATGTTACAGTTTAATTGGTCAGGACTGGTGGTCTTTGTTCTTAGGCTAGGGTAAAGGAAAACATCTGGCCTCTGGCCTTGAGCTGCCTGGCTATTTATACATATATCATATTCTTGGAGCTAGAGTACGTGTTCAGGCTAATGTACAGAATGGAGATTGACCTTGCCTCTGGAGGGAACTAATAATAACTGAGGCCTTGTCTATTTAAAATGCTTTCCTGAGCCTGACTAGAGTTTAGTCAAGCACTTTCTAGGTAGGCAAAATCAGTTTGGTCCTTACAGGGCAAAGTCTCAAGGTTCTACCAGTGGATCTGAACAAACCTGGTCTTATTTTGAATTTTGTTCCACATTTTCTCCCACTCTATCTAGGATCTTCTGGTGTGATTCCAACCGGTAGTGGGTGGCAGATGCCATCTTGTCTCAAGGTCCTGGAGACTGATGATTTTTTAAAAAAACAAAAACAATCTGACAGGAAACTACATGTAATCGAGATTAATACTAACTCTTTTATGGCTCGATAAAGGAGTTAATATTAATTAACTAAATTAGAAAGCTTGCTGTTATGTGCCGTGGCGTCGGTTCCGACCCATAGCGACCCTGTACAGGGTTTCCGAGGCTGTAAATCTTTACGGGAGCAGAAAGCCTCATCTTTCTCCTGCGGAGCAGCTGGTAGTTTCGAACTGCTGACCTTGAGGTTGGCAGCCTGACTTGTAACCACTACGCTACCAGAGCTCCTAAATTAGAAAGCTTAGGGAAATATTAAATCAGAAAGTTAGAGGAAGAAAATGCAATTTTCCTAGGTCATAAAGACATCCGATTTTAGTTCTGACACAAACAGTTCCTCCCCAAGCAACAAAAATTTCTCTCAGAATCTCTGACTCTCAATCTACTATGAAAAGTCCCTGACACAGGGGCCTATTAAAGCTGCGGCTCTGTCACTTTTTCTTGTTCATTATTCTTATTTGTGGCTTAAGGTTTTATGGAATTTTAGAGATTCAAGTCAGTGCTATTATTTTGCTTTTTAAAAAGAAATTTAGCTACCAAAAATTTTTAAATTCTATCTATCAGTAAATCGAACACTTGTTTCAGAGAAGGCACTGTGACATCTTAATGGAGACAAAGAACTCTGTGGAGCTTACATAGTGCTCTGGATGCTACAGCATCTTTATTGCTGCTCTAAACACAGTAAAAGTTCGAGGACTGTACCCGGCAGTAGATGACCTGTTCTGAAACTCAGGGACAAGCTGGCTGTTTGTCCTCAGGTAACACCGAACTATACTTTCTCATTAGTATCTCCCACCCCACGGAGCAGCCTCTCACTGGGGTCTCTGAATAGCCTACTGTTTATAAAAAAAAATGGTGATTCCAGGTCCAGAGCCTAGGCCAACTGAGGCAATCCCTGCGTATCCGGATGGGAATGTGACATTTTTAACAAGCCTTGGAGTCCTGGTGTGGCGCTCTATGTTAATGAGCTGGACTGCAAGGTCGGCTTGAACCGCAAGGTCAGTGGTTCAAGCTCACCAGCCATTCCTAGGAAACCCTATATAGGGTCACTGTGAGTCGGAACCGACTCGACAGCAGTTAACAACAACAACCCAGGTAAGTCTTATGCACATCAAGGCAGATAAGAGCTACTACCCAAAACATAGCTACAATATGACTTTATCATTATGTAAGAAAGAGTATTCAAACGCAAATTCTTTTACAATGGGATTATAGTATTTTAATCACAGAAATCATTGGTACTTTCATAACAAGTTTCATTATACCTGTGCCCCCTGACTAACATTTTGTTGGATCCAAATAAAAGCTAGAATCATGTAGGTCACGCAGACTACAACCAAAGGAACATCAGATCACCCCTGCCACATTTTAAGAATAGTTTAGTGAAAACGTCCATCTAAGTTACATTCTAAAAAAGAAAACAAACAAACCCAAAACTCTAGGTAAAAATAAAACTATCTGTGTTTTGCCACTTTTGCCTGGCCTCTCAAAAACTCATACATGTGTATGTACTCACCCAAATTCACCCAAAGCACCATGTGTATCAGCCATGTAGACATTAAGTATGATCTGCTAAAGAAACAGAACGCCAGTACGGGGCAAGGTTTTTGTCTGCTCAAAGCATTTTATTTCATATTAAGAGAAAAGAGAAAGAACAAATACAGTCATAACATCCACAGGCAAATGGACAAAGCATAGAGTTGTTAATACTAACCTCCCTGAAACACATTTCTTAGTAGACTGCTAAGATGCCTCTGAAGATGGTGTTACAATTATACCTGATGATTCTGTCCTCATATTTTAATCTACAAATCATTCTAGAAATAGTTCTCAGGATCACTTGGATTCCACTATTTTTAATATAAGAAACTAGTTGGAAGAAGAAAAAACTTAGCAATATTTAACTTCCCCTGAAATCAATAATTTGAAAAGAAAACGTGGGAATCCGTTGTATACATGTGATTAAGAACATGCTTCACAGACTGCTTGAGAAAAGCAAATGACAAATGCTTGTGGGAAGGCCAGCCAGGAGAGGCAGAGCAACAAACCCCACCCACACACCTGTGCTAAGTACAGGCCCTGCCTGCAAAGGAAAGGCTGAGGGAAGTTCAGAGGAAAAGGACATTTACTCAACCTGACTATAAATATCCCCAGGACTATTCCGTCAACAATGAGAAGGCAGCTCATTTGAGAAAGGTGATATAAAACCATCAACTTATTGTTAAAAAAGAACAAAGGCCAAAGAAAATACTTAAGAAGCCTTACAATATAACTTTCTAAACAGTTTCCAAGCAGAATAAATTAATAAAGATAAACATACAGCCTCCCCAGGGTGATTTAACCAAGGTTATTCCTTATTAAGACCAAAACAGTAGTAATGAAATTATACAGTAACTAAATCCTAAGTTTTAATTAAATCATACATTGCCACATATATTTTTTAAAGAAGAATACTTTAGTATTAGAACACATTCTGGACATACCTTTTCTCTGAATTCTATAAAGTTATTCTGAAATCTATAAATTTGCTTATAAAATACATTTTAAAAACTAAGTATCTCAACACCTTTAAAGGTCTACTAAGAATGTGAGAGGCTACCTGGAAATGGTATAAACCCCGGAAGCCAGCTTTCAATTGAACCAGCAAAGCTAAACTAAAGCATCATCACAAAGCAAGCAGGTAGCAGTTCTTAGAACAAGACTAAACTTTGTGAAGATTTAATACCATGAACCTCAGGGTCTGGTGGTATGCAAATATGGAAGGAAAAAAAAGAAAATTCTTGGAATTAACTTACAAAAACACTTGAGAGGTAATAGGGTAACGTGGTCAAATGAAAATTCTTAAAGAGTGATTACAAGCCAAAGAGACTTTTCCCATTCAAACTTCATGTGCATAAAATTTACACTCAGATTTTGCCTTAGCCCTCTCATCTTTCTCCCCCAAGAAAAAGTAAATTCTTGTGAAAAATTAAGGCTCATACACCTGAATGTTTGTATAATACTTGCAGGCTTATTTTAAGTTTTTAAATCCATAATAATTCACCTTTACAAATCGAAAGGCATCTAATCAGATAAAACAAAATTTATAACATGATGAAGGTAAACCAAAAAAAATTGTTAGAAATTTCTATATGTTGTCTGTATTTGAGTAGGACTTTGGTCCTTACAGTCAAAGCGATTTTAAAGCTACCAGACTAGTGACAGACTAAATAAAGGAGAATTTGCTAAGTAAGATGAATAATTACAGCTTCCTTATTAAAAATATACTAGATAGTGCATAGGGGAATGCAAATAACACATTTTAGACAAAGACCTTAATTACTGCTAAACCACAGGAAAAAGACATCAATTAAAAACACTAATATTTGGTAATGTTTTCCCTCTAATCCTTAATAAGTCCTTACGCAAAATTCTCAGAAAAAATAAAAGAAACATCTCTCAAATGACAATTTTGTGTGAAGGTCATGTACAATATATAAACCTACAATCAGTGAATCTGACCAAGGCACAAGTTCAAGTGACTTATCAGAGGTCACATGGTTCATTTAAACTCAGGTTTTTTTTCTCAAAGCATCCAGCTCATTCCTCTTAGTACGAGCCACTCTGGCTTTCTGAGGCCTGCTTGCTTTCTTTTCTAGAAAGAAGCTACAAGAGGGCAAACAGTCAAGCACTCTGCAATGCAATGGTCACCCTATCAGGTAAGAGAGCGTACATTTCAGAGGATGGTGTATTTAGATATATGACTTTTCCACATTATGTGACAAAAGGATCCTTTCATAATATAATTTAAAAATGTAAAGTATAGTGGCATTGTTTTCAGCCAGTCTTTAGTTCTGAAGCTTTTGCAAGTTTGGTAAACTTTTAAAAAAAAAGGAAATCTATTCATAGGAGTAAAGGTACAAAGAACTGGTACGTTTCACCCCAAAACAGCATCTTTCTTGAGGTTATGCTCCGTCCCCTCCCCATCGTGTTCACTAACTCACAGATTCAACCTTCAAAGGCACTAAGTGGTACAGAAAGGACTGCAAGCTGCATTACATTTTCTCCCTTAACTTTCCCCCATAAAGTGCACAAAGCAGAGAGTAGTAAGAGAACAGACATATAGGTGTGGGTCTACATCAGCAAGGAAAGCAATACTCCCAACAGGAATGGAAGTGTGTGTAAGAAGCTGAACCACAGGAGAGGCCTGTCTCATTTATTAGTGTCTGAGCTCTTCCTGGATGGTCTCACTTCTGCATTTCCTCGGGACCTGGACCTGGACCTGGGGCCACGCAGCAACGCAGAAATCAGGAGGGACTGGCCTGCTTCTTGTTGGATCCTCACGTTAACATGTTATTGAGCTTTTTTATCCACTGGTTGTCTCCCAACAATTGCGTCCCTCAGAGCTGCTTGAGTGGAATTACACATGTAAGAAGTAGCCTGCAAAAGTCCATTTAGTCTCATGTAAGTCAGTGAAATACAACACAGAATCATGAAATAAGACCTTTGAGATAACTGTCAAAATCCCGTCTCCACCAGCGGTACAGACCAGAAGGAGGGAATGAAAATGGAGGCGTAAGAACAGGCTGTGGGAGCAGCTAACTCCTGAGCATCTGCTCCCTTGGCTTCATCACAAGCTTCCTGCCTAACTACCTGTTCATGCAACTCAGAAAATAAAACAACCAGAGTCTCAGAGGCCTCTAAATTAGAGGACCGAGTCAATGGAAAAAAGTCAATGTTTCCTGGAGTAAATGAAGGAGACGGGGTCATTTTCTAACCTGATAATACTCAAAACAGAAAGCTTTGTTAAGTTCATAGTTTTCAAGCTCTTGATTGTCAGTGAAGCAAATTAATCTTGGGGGGAAAAAATAGACACAGGAAATATGTCTGAAGAGCATATAATTAGAAGCTTCCTGTGAGAAGTACAGTATATCTAAAGTAGAGTCACTTTTGCATGAAAGAGCATTTTTAAACAGGGAAGTTAAGTACTAGGAATAAATATCTCTAAGGAATAAATATCTTAGAGAAGGATAATAAAAACAATGTCTATGGGGTGAAAAGAGGGCCAGGGAAGTTTCTCATGCTCCCCTTTCAAAGTGAGATTCTTCCCACTGGAGAGATTTCAAAATACAAGCACAATGTGGGCCCACTACCAATCAACCTTCAGCCCTCTCCGCCAGCATCACTTACCTGCTCTAATACATACGTTGCACCGTTGTCGATGGCTCCACCCAGCTCCCGATATTCACCAGAATACCTGATGTAACCCCAGGTGAGGAGTGCTATTAACAACAGTCCAACCATACAGTTGAACAGCTGGGCCACAGCCTCCAGACCAACAAAGTGAGTGAGGCCCGAGGCTATGTACAAAGCCACAATGCCTGTGAACAGCACCGCAGGGGTGCGGAAGGTGCTGAAGACATTCTTGCTATCATTGTGCTTCATGAAGTTCTCATAGAGTTCTTTGATCTCCTTCTCCAGCTCCTCCTGGTAACGAAGGCTAAAATCCTTCCCACCCATCTTCTTGGTCTTCTTAAAATGATCCAGAGCTACTTGTTTGCATTCACCGTGCTTTTCCTCTAGAATCTCTGGAGACAAATAAGGTTTCTCTCCCCCACAAACCTAGAATGAAACAAAAAAGTGCCTAAGATCCTTTCAAAACTAAGCGCCAAATAAGTGGAAAAAAAACAACACTGAAATGGTTAGAGTATTCTGAGATATTAGAAATCAATTTTAGAATGATGATCAAAACCAGTAAAGCTGGGTTCACATAATCTGAAAAGCACACTCAAATAATTCCAGAGACATTGATCAGAGGAGTGATACTGTCGGAAAGACTTGGCTAAAATGGTAATTATTAGAAGGTCCTAATCACCAGGTCGATTTGAAGACAGCTTTGCTACCTCATCATCATGGATTGTTGCTGTTGTTGTTAGGTGCCATTGAGTCAGTACTGACTCATAGTGACCCTATGCCCAACAGAACAAAACACTGCCCGGTCCTGGGCCAACCTCACAATTGTTGTGACGCTTGAGCTCACTGATGCTGTCACTTTGCCAAACCATATTGCTGGTGATCTTCCTTTTTCTCTCACCCTCCACCTTACCAAACATGATATCCTTCTCCAGCGACTGGTTCCTCCTGACAATACGTCCAAAGTATGAGAGACAAAGTTCGGTCATCCTGGCCTCCAAGGAACACTCTGGTTGCACTTCTTCCAACACATTCTTCTTTCGGCAGCCCATGACACTTCCAATATTCTCCTCCAACACCATAACTCAAAGGCATCAATTCTTCTACTGTCTTCCTTATTCACTGTCCAGCTTTTGCATTCATATGAGGTTATTGAAAATACCATGGCTTGGGTCAGGTGCACCTTAGTCCTCAAGCTGACATCTTTGCTCTTCAACACTTTACAAAGGTCTTGTGTAACAGACTTGCCTAATGCATTATGTCCTTTGATTTCTTGACTGCTGCTTCCATGAGTGTTGATAGTTAATCCAAGAAGAATGAAGTCCTTGACAACTTCAATCTTTTCTCCATTGATAAGAATGTTGTTTATTGGTCCAGTGGTGACGATTTTTGTTTTCTTTACATTGAGATGCAATCCATATTGCTGTGCTCTTTGATCTTCATCAGTAAATACTTTAAGTCCTCTTCACTTTTATCAAGCAAGGTTGTATCATCTGCATATTGCAAGTTGTTAATGAGTCTTCCTCCAATCCTGATGCCATGTTTTTGTTCATAGAACCCAGCTTCTCAGATTATCTGCTCAGTATACAGGTTGGATAAGTATGGTGAGAGAATACATGGATTAGGCCTTCTGAAGTCAGCAACATGCCCAGGTGACAGGTATTTCAGAATAAAGCATAGCCACACATACCTCTTCCATGTGGTTATAATAAATGTCCTTGGCAGAGGCTGCAGCTGCTAAGTTGTTGGCTTCAGCAGTGGCCTTTAAAGAAAGAAAAGCATAACTACATAAACCTTCGAGGTCACATCCTTCACAACCAACTCAGACTTCTCTCTCACTCTGTTCCCCAGTCTTCCTTTTTTACTTTAATTTTGCATATAATCCAGTTTATCAAGTAAAGTATATCTTTTCTGCCAAAAGATCTAACTTTATACATAAGAATCTTTAGCATAAATTAAATCTCCAAAACTCAAAGGAAAACATAATTTTCTTTGATCTTTACAATATTAGTTCCAGGCTCTAGCTCCACTGGTACAAATGTTTTGCTACTTAAAAGAAATCAACATTTGATAATAACTGGTCTTATGTTCAACACAGAAAGTCACAATTTATATGCCAAAACAAAGTAACACTCATCAGTGGAAGAATGGATAAACAAACTTTGGTACACAAACACAATGGAATACTAGGGCTACCTTGAAGAATAACAAGGAAGCCGTAAGCCACCACCTAACATGGATAAACCTTGAGGACATTATGATGCTGAGTGACATTAGTCAGTCACAAAAGGCCAAATACTGCATAAGACCATTATTGTAAAAGCTTAAGAAAAGATACCCATATTAAAAAGGGGGGTGGGTGGGGTGAGAGGGATTGGGGGGATGTGGAGGAAGGCGACAGTAGAGCGCAGGGTAGGGAGCAGACACATAATAGTTTGGGTGTTGGGGAGGGCAATACACAAGAAGGGGGACAGGGTGGAGGAACAAGGTAGAGAGGGGAACATTGAGACAGCTTTGCATGGGCTAAATGGGACAGAGGTAACAAGTGATGCATGGTGAACCTTAGAACAATAGGGCTCTGGGATACAAGGATTGAGGCTTAGAGGGCAACTAACATTAAGATGCCTGACTGTCTCTTTTATGAACATTGGTTTCCCTTGTCTACTATTGTAAAATAGACACATGAGTGGGATAGAAAGGAATGTCGTGAAACATGATTTCAGAAAGCTTGTAAGCCCATCTTACGCCCAATAACTGACTGGAATACCTAAAAGGGGTTCTACAACTTGCTCAGTGAAATAGGCCTCTTGCAGAGCCTCTGTAGTGCATAGGACCTCAGGTGGAATCCTGAGCCCCATCCAGAAACTTCTGAGGTGAGACATTCCCAGTAGAAAGACAAGCAGACCCACCTGGAACAGTTAGAGTGACAGATGATACATCTCCAAAGAAAGATCATCAGGAAAAATCCAGTATCAGTATGATTGGCTACTACAAGAATAAGCAAGTTGTTCACCAGGAAGTCATCAAGGCAAACAATCAAGTTCCTTCAGGACAAACCCCTTTCTAAGACTGAAACTCAAAGGGAACACATGAGCAGGCATGTAAGCTTGCTGGCAACCACATTGGTCTACTGGTGAGTGGAAGAGGAGGAAAGGCAG